GTAACACCAAAGGTTCAAACCCTCAACTGTAATCATCATACAGTCTTAGGGCTTTAACAAAAGCCAGTATCTCAGACGGCTCCACAGAGGCCAGCTCTCCATCCTCGACATCACACGTACCAAAGTTCATGGCACGAATGGTCCTCGTCTCGGCGCACTCAGTGCTAAGGTGTTCTGGTGTTTCCCCATTTTCCCCACAGAATCTGCATTCGCCGTTGTTTCTCAGCTTCAGCCTACTGAGGTGTTCGTTGAGGAGACTGTTAGAAACCCCGTGACAATCCAAAGATTGTTTTTAGATAAATCAAGGAAAACCTTTGATTTTTCTCGGTCGTAAGTTCTGAGGAACTTTTTCGAGCGTCTTACACCGTTGGAGGACACCCATTCCAAGTTACGGATGGAGTCTTCCAGATTCTTCGGTTCCGCTTTCAGTTGGTTTCCGTTTGAAAGTCCGCTCATAGTTAGCTACCTTCTTGGCAACGGACATTTGGATACCTACACTAGCAATGTTGGATGAGGCGCTGTTCTGTCTCAGATCCAAGATGGTCAAGAAAAAGCAATTGGTTATTTTAGTAAGACCTTATCAAAACCAGAAAGGAACTACTATGTGACTATGTGACCAGACGAGAATTACTAACTGTAGTTAAAGCAGTGTAACACTTCTACAAGTATCTCTATGGAAGAAAATTCTTATTAAGAACAGACCATGCTGCTTTGAAATGGCTGTTGCAGTTTAGGAATCCTGAAGGGCAGGTAGCTAGATGGATCGAAAGATTGCAAGAATTTGACTTCGACACAGAACATCGAGCTGGGGCAATGAATAATATATAACTAATAAAAAAAGCGTGAAAATTTCATTCTTGCCTATTATATAAGTTTCATCGGAGTTTTCCACCAAATGAGTGATGGACATAGTAGCATTATAAGGTTCTACCACTGTATCGGATACTTTGGGACTGGGAATGATGGTGAAAGTACTGATAATCCTGTCAGGATATTCTTCTCTGATTTTATCCAACAGCAGGCAACCCATTCCTGAGCCCGTACCTCCACCTATGGAGTGCACCATCTGGAAACCCTACAATTGCATTATTTCAAAAACTATATTAATTTGTATGTGACATGCGATCTGGGAACTTACTTCGAAATGTGTTTTGAAGTCTGAGTAATAGAGTTATATGGTAAAAACATAAAAAAATAATGTACACTCAAATGTAAAAAAAACGCAACGGAGAAAGTGTTTTATTTTTTATATTTTTAGCCCTATTTTTATGAATCATAAGTACAGGGTGTTCCTTAATGATATGCTAATATTTGAGGGGGTGATTCCTGGATCTGTTCTATGAGAAAAACTTCATATGAAAGTATATCCTAAACATCTTAGTTTCTGAGCTACAGGGTGATAACATTTTCTAAAAAATTTTTTTTGGATAATAACTCTGATTTTATTACAGATATCTTTATGAAATTTAATACACGTCTTCTATGCATCTAAATACCTTTTTTGGCGTACAAAGAATTTTATTTATATCAACCAGTGCAGTCCATACAGGTTTTACATTGAATTAAAACTTGTCTAACCAACTGTATCTGAAAAGTTAAGATGTTTAAGAATGTTATGTCATAAGAAGTTCTTTTTCTTAGAATAAGTCCAAGAATCACCTCCTTAAATATTAGCACGACACTAAGGAACACCCTGTATATCAATTTTAATTCGTAAACAAGTATTTTTTTATAAATTTTAGTACTTGGCTAATTATACAGGGTAATGGGGAATGGTTATTTTTTTAAATGTATATTACTTTTTTAAAATGTATATTTTTTTTAAATTATATTACCATAGAAACGCGTTTTGGTTTTTACGACTAAAAAATTCAACCATATTTTCGTGCCTTTTGTAATTTTCTCAATAAACGGTATGGAAATTTGGAAAACTATAGACGAGATTAACCATTTTAGAACAAGCAATAAATCCTCAAAATCCCCATAATCAAAAAGTTTTTCCTCTTGAAAAGACAATCCAGGGACATATTGTATATTGAGTAAAGAGGATTTTTTTACAACCTGCAGTAAATCGCATCCTTCTGCTTCTTTTCTAATGATGTCCAACACGGTGTCGGCCAATTCGGCACCCTCTGTATACATCCCTTTGGCGAAATTGTTACTCGCACCTCCCCTACCGAACACGAAACTGTCAGGACTAAACAACCTACAAAATTATAAGTAAGCATTATAAATGTTTTAAAAGTGGTAACAAATATGATGAATTATGAAATACGTTCTATCTAAAATATGATCGAAAAAAAAACGGCGTCAGCAATGGCTATGAAAAATCGTATGGGAAATGTCATCGATGTTCATTTCAAAGCCAACTGGACTCCGTTTTTTTTTCGGCCATATTGGATTTGAGAGGGAGAAAGATTAAGTTAAATAAAAACTGTGTTGACTATAAGCAAGCATAATATAGCATGAAAGGCACTTGATTCCGCAGGGATCTATATATTAAAAATAAAGGCAATTTATATAAAATGCGTTCAAAACTTGCCTTCCAAAAGGGCCGGAGCGTACAGAATCCATAGTACTCTCTTCCAGATCCACTAGTACAGCCCTTGGTACGAATCTACCACCAGATGCTTCATTATAGTAAACGTTGATCCTCTCCAATTGGAGGTCAGTGTCTCCATGCCAATGTCCTGTAGGGTCTATACCGTGTTCGTCAGATATCACCTCCCAAAACTTTAAAAATGTAGAAAAATATGTATCATAGTGTAGAAAAAAGATTGTAGATAATAGTATGGGGGCTACTGTAACGCAATATTTGTACAAAGTATACTAAAAATTGTTTTTCTTGAAAAAAGTGTTAAAAAAAGTGTTAAAAATTAAAAGGAAATATAATACAGGAAGATTACTAAATATTTTTTGTACTTCACCTTATTTCCAATATTGTTGCCAGCTTGACCAACTTGAATATGAACGATTTCTCTCATTTTGCTTGAAACACTAGAATTTTGTAATTTTAGAAATTGAATGAAATGAAAATAAAATGAGTGATTTTTCTGATTTATGACAAGACAAATGCCATATTGATACTCTACAGGGTGTTTCAAAAAACATGTGCCATCTCTCGTAGCTACAGGGTGTTGTGAGGAATCTCCCCAAGAGAGATGGCACATGCTTTTTGACATCACCCTGTATATCACAGACTTTAGTCGTTGAACTGAAATATTGAGTAAAAGTTCGTTTTTCAAAAAAAAAATATTTTTTTAATTAAATTTAATGTTTCTTTTTCAGTTATAATCAGCATATGCTGGTTCGCTGGTAGCTTCATAGGGTTTTTACCCCTGATGGGCTGGCACCAAGATCGCCCAAACAGCGTGGACTGCTTCTTCCTCACGGTGATGGACTACAACTACTTGGTGTTCCTCTATTTCGGTACCATCATCACGCCAGCCCTGATACTGATCGGATTCTACGCTCACATATACAGGGTGGTCTTAAAACAGGTAAATTTTATCCCTATATTTATTCAAATAATAAAATCTTGTTCTATACATTGTTGTCAGAAAAGTCTGTATTCGGTGGGATTTTGTATTGATTGGTTCCAGAAAAAAAAAATAACACTAACAGTGTCGTACTTAAATAATAAAAGTCGAAGAATTTTGTGAAGACCATCAGAAAATTAATAAAAATTATACTAATTTTTATATTAAATAAACGAAATTCAAAAATTTATTCTATATACCCCGTAGCATCTAACTCCGAACTTTATTGTTGACTCGATCTCTCTGTACAGGGTGGGTCAAATTCGACGCTTTTAAATGGAAACACCCATTTCTATAGGAGATAGACGAAAACTAATATCGGTGTCTGGAGCTCAATTTTCATCAAAAACATGATGGTGAAAACCGCACATCAATATCTGCTACCGTTTAGGAGTTACGAGGTGTTTTTAAAAATGTGCATTTTAACAAATCGCTGTAACTTTTTTGCTATGGAAAATTTTGCATTTCTATGAAAACATTTCCAAAGCACCTTTTTACGTAGAATTTAATGGTTTAAGTATAATTTTTTTAAAATTAATAATTTAAGAGTTATCAGCAGAAAAATTGATTTTTTATTTGGGACACCCTATATATTTTTAATTAACTGAAAATAATTTAAAATTACCTTTCCAAAAATATAGCACACTTGATATTTTGTTATAATCTCCTTCGAAATACAGAATTTTTAAAAGTTCGCCACTTTTAACTAGTAGGCTTTGGATCCCTTATTTATGATATGCCCTTAATGGAACTCGAAAACATATTTTTCCAGCAAGACGACGCACCGCCTCTGAACCATGGAGTTATCAGCAATTTTTTTTAGAATAATTCGATAGCTAACCACGATACTAGCTGTTGGCCGTCGAGGCCGCCTGACTTAGTGCCCATGGATCTAATCCTATGGATATATTTGCGGAAGAATAAAGGTTCCTTATTCTTCCGTATAATCTAGACAAGAATTAAAAATTAGGAGTTATGAGAGGGTATCTTTCAGCCCCACTGAGTTAATGAATTCCGCGAGAAATTCCAAACCAAACCAAACCATAACAGAAGACGGTCGATATGTCGAACATCTGTAGCAAAATCTCATGTCTTGGTTTGCTATTTATTTTTATTGTTATTAGATATAGTTTAAATGTGTTGATGTTGGTTAAAAATATTTTAAATTGTTATAAAATTCTGCATCTCTCATAGCAAATATTATTTTCGTTTTAATTGATGCTCACAGCTAGAATTTTTTTGCATTACAGCCGGTGCCGTTCAAAGCCTACGTATTTAAAGCGGGCGAATGCTTTTATACTCTATATCTCGAAGAGGAATCGAGCAAAATATCAAGTGTGTTACATTTTTGGAAAGGTAATTTGAAATGCTTTTCAATAAATTAAAAATATGCAGGGTACCTATCCCATATAAAAAATCAAATTTTCTGCTGATAATTCTTAAATTATTAATTTTAAAAAAATTATACTTAAACCATTAAATTCTACGTAAAAAGGTGCTTTGGAAATGTTTTCATAAAAATACAAAATTTTTAAAGATGCATATTTTTGAAAAACACCCCGTAACTCCGAAACAGTAACAGATATCGATATGCGGTTTTCACCATCATGTTTTTGACAAAAATTGAGCTCCAAACACCGATATTAGTTTTTGTCCATCTCCTATAGAAAAGGGTGTTTCCATTTAAAAGCGTCGAATTTGGCCCACCCTGTACAGCGTGTCTCATTTTTGTGTGTTTTACAAGGTATCTAGTTTATGAACAGAGAGACAAAGATGCGGTTTTCACATTACCGGTGCTGCTGTTTTATGTAACTAAAGATACTACACACGTTTGAATCATTTTCGAAAATGAGAGCTCCTAGTATAAAACTAGTTACGCCACTGATTTCTACGAGAAAAACTACCTTGATAAGTCAAAAGATAATCGAGATTGATTTTTAATTTAATCTATAGTATTGTGAAAACTCGCACCTTTGTATCTCTACTCATAAACAAAAAACCTTGTAAAACACACAAAAATAGGACACCCTATACAAAGATATAATCTTTTCAGAGCTTGATGAACCACCTTATCAGAAGACACAAATCACACTTATCAAAAGGACTTGAAACTCAAATTAGTACTAAAACAGTATCTAATAAACTCCCTTTTTCTAATAACACTCTAAGCCTTATCATTAAAAGTGTAATTTGATAAGCATGCTTCAGATG